TGACGGGAAGAAGAAGAAGAAGAAGAAGAAATAATAATAAGAAGAAGAAGAAAAAGAAATCTAAAAACGCCAACTTAGCAACTTACCTCCAAGTTCGACCCTTCGTGAAGATGGCGCGAGGCAGCACTCGAGGAAGTCGGCGGGAAGGCGGATGACGACGATGGAGTGGCAGATGGAGGGCGACAATGACGCGGCAACAGGGGGACGACAATGGCCGGGCAGCGGGACGACGACGACGGCGGCAGCATGACGACGACGATGGCACGACGGGAGGGCGACGTCATCACGGGAGGGCGGCGTCGTCACTGGCAGAGGGCAGAGGGAAGGAGGGTGGAGGGCGGAGGGCGGAGGGGCACGGGGCGGGGGCCAGATCGTCCTAGGATTCAAATTTGAATCCTGGGAGCCACGATCGTCGTCGATCGTCGACGATCGATAACCAGGAGTGAAAAAAAAAAGCTTCAGAAAAAGGGGCCTACCGGGCCCCGAAAAATAGCGCGCCGGCCGCCAAATTTGTTTTTGGCCTGTAAGCCAACGGCCGGCGGCGCGAAAAAAAAAAAATTGCCGCCGTTTTGGGTATGGCGCTGAGGGGGCCCGAATGCCTGGCTGGGGGGGGGTGCAGGGCCGAGCGCCCCGAGCGCCATTCCGAGCTAGGCGCCTTCCCATTACAGCTGGAAGAGCCTCAGCCACTGCTCCCCTGGAGACAACGTCCCTGCCTAACACGAATACAGCATTGTGACGGGACATTGATTGCTTCCCCAGTAAGGAAGGATTAACCCCGTTTGTGTGTAGAATCAATCTCTGCCCTACGAAACTCCTCAATTATCCCTACTATCTTCTACACGAGGAGGAGTAGGGGAGATATGAATAAGGCAAAAGGATTGATAATAGGGCGAGAAGGTATAGTAGTTCATTAACTTCATTTGTAATTACGACAAGTTCCCCCAAACAGCAGTAGTTAACATAGACACAAACCCTAGGGGAGCACTGTAGTTGGAAAAAATTGTAATCTAAACGTAAAGACCATCAAACCAAGTCAAACCCTAGCCCATGACGACCAAGGACTGAATATGGCCCCATTAGATGGAGATGGACTGAGATCAAGTGCCATGAGAGAGGAAGAATTCACCAAACTGGCGATAACCACACCGATGAAAAAGAGGAGGGGGGGGGAGGGAAAGGGAACAAACCAAGAAGTCATCCCTGCCTCCCAAGCCCCCTCTCCGCAGCCTCTCATCTTCCTCCCGAATCCCACGGAAAAAAACTCATCATCTTTCCACCCCTCACCGCATCGCCATATCAGCATCATCTCATGCACGACAAAATTTTCATGCAAGAGGGCGGGAAGAAACCGAATAGCCCTCACCATAGTAGCTGGCCCATCGACAGATCTTGGTTGGGCGCCGATTGTATAGAACGAAGTGGGCAAGCCAATCGTGGTTGGAGATTGTATTTCAGATGCCATTGTCAGGATCGCTGTTGTTGTCGTTGGAAACGTAGTTGGTGTAGATGATATCGTGGTTGGCGCTGATGATGTAGATAGTGTATCAGATATCTTGGATGTCATCATCAGGATCGCTGTTGTTGTCATTGCCAATGGAAAGATTGTTGGTGTAGATGATGTCATCACGGTTGGCGCTGTTGATGTAGAAGGTGTTTCAGATGTCATCGTCAGAATCACAGTTGTTGTTGTTTGAAGAATTGTCGGTGTTGGTGATGCCATCGTGGTTGGCGCTGTTGATGTAGATGTAGTTGACGAGCCTATTTCTGATGTCATCGTGAGTAGCGCTGTTGTTGTCATGATTACGCTCATCGGTGTTGATTCTGTCAAAGATAACATCATCACTGTTAACCTATCTGCAGAACTTTTCTCAATTGTTGGAGTTGTTGTGTGGATTGTTGATGTATAATAGGATGTCATTGTCGTGCCCATTGTTGATGCTGTTGGAGTTGTTTTCACGTTCACTTCTGAAAGTTGCTGCGGACGACTTGTGGCTGCACTCACAAACACCACCCCAGATGTGCATATTGCCCCTTTATCACACAGATCGCTCCCTTCCTCGTAAATCCCATAGCAATCGCCCATCAAGGAGTCCGCGAGCTGCCAGTCAAGGAGATCATCCAGCTGTGGATTAGGCCCTTCTTCAAGCTCCCAAAGGACATCCATCATCCTCTGCCGCTTATCCTCCAGCCATGCGGTCCTTGAAGTCCCCCCCCCTATAACTTCAGACCAATCACGAACTGTTGAGGACACAAGAGTCACGATCTCCCTCAGCCGTCGCTTCCCCTCCTTCACCGTGTAGATCCAGTTTGCCGCCGCTTGTTGTAGATTTGCTGTCAAATTCATTTCCATCCCGCTGCCGTACCTTTCATCCGATAGAGCGCCATTCGCAAGGACGCCATCTGCACGCTGACTACAGGAACTATTCGTCCTGCCCTTATCACTGTCCATTCACCCCTCGTCAAACCTCCTCCTAACACGAAGTTTGACCTAAACTCTTCCACAGCGATAGCGTCAACGCCGTCAGTCCCCCTTGTGGTCACCAAGACGTTGGGTGACAAGACCGCCGGGCCCGCCGGCTGGTTCGCTCCCTGCGCGCTTGTGACGTCGCTCCTCTCATAGCAGTCTGGGGTGGGACTTACTGCTGTCTCTTATACACATCTAGATGTGTATAAGAGACAGCTATGACGGAGGAGGGGGGAAGGGTAAGGAGGGAGGAGGGAGGAGGGAGGCTATGGCGAGGGGGATGAGGGAGGAGGGGGGAGGTGGTGCACTGCGTGAAAGGAGGGAAGAGGGAGGAGGGAGGAGGGAGGAGAGAGGAGGGAGGAGAAGGGCTATGGAGGAGGAGGGGGTGCGCTGCGTGAGAGGAGGGAGGAGGGAGAAGAAAGGCTATGGAAGAGGAGGAGGGAGGGAGGCTATGGCGGACGATGACGTAGAGTTGGTGGGGGGTTACGGCGGAAGAGGGAGGGTCGATGGGACGAAGAGTGGAGGAGGGGGGAGGTGATGGCCGCCGCTGGAGGAAAGAGAGAGGCGATGGCCGCCAATGAAGAAGAAGAGGAGGAAGAAGAAAAAGAAGAAGCGAAAAAAAAGAAAAGAAGAATCGAAAAATAAAAAGACGAAGCAGAAGCGATGGCCACCAGTGAAGAAGAACTTTCCACGTGGTCCAGAACCTTCCCCATGTGTGGGCCTGAGCCTCTCCAAATGAAAACGAAGAAAAAAAAA